ACATGGAACTGCAATTATTTTAGTAAATATAAATGGCTAAATACCTTTTCTCATCAGCAGCTAGAGCAGTCTTGTGACTTCTATCAGTGTTTAGCTGAGCACTGGTTAAAGCTTGTAGGAGTTTTCTTTCTGCTCTAGGAGGATGTAGAACCCCTGACCTCTGTCTGGACAGTGCTGATTGGCCCTGTGCTTATCACATGCACTCTCCCAAGAAAGAAAAAAGACCTCTCTAGCAAAACACACACCAAACTGAGCATGTGCATGCCTACGGTTTAGTCTGGAGATAAGAGTGGTCGCTTGAAAAAGGGGAGGTACAGAAAGGAAAGGATCAAACAGCCTTTTTACACAAAGCAGAGGATTAACCCCTTAGGTTCCACAGTGAGTATAACAAGCATGCTTTACTGCATATACAGAATGATTTTACTGGTGTGGGTTTAGTAACACTTTAAGCTTTAGCAATAAAACCTGGAAGCTGATTGATTTCCATGTAAAGTCCTTTCACATGGACGTTCCGATCACCCATTTTTCAGGCGAACCCGATCAGAACCTCCATTCTCCTCTATGGAGCTGCGGGTGTAAAGGGATACGTGTCTGTTTACACCCGCTGACATCCAATCCAATCCGACCCACAAAAAAGAGATGGATGGGGATCCAATTCCCCTTCCGTCCGTCAGATTGGGTTGGATGGAAACAGACAGGCAGTCTGTTTTCATCCAATCGCCCATTGAGGAGGCACAGACTTGTCATCCGCATTCTCGGCAGGGATCAGCAGAGAGATCCCCCACTGAGCAAGCGGATCCGCCAAACAGGTCCGCCCCATGTGAAAGGACCCTCTGAGTGAACCAGCTTTAGTAAATAAACCCCACAGAGTCCTGATTTGCAAAAGGCAATGTACTGTAAAAGCAATTCTACAGTACAACAGAGGCTCACCAGACCGGGAACACTCATAGGACTGCAGTGAAGAAACAATGGTAAGAAGACCCAGTAATGCGGGCAGCCTTTGCCACAAGGAGCGGAAGGCAGCCTGACCAATCCAACCCAAAAGGAGAAGCTTCCTGAGAAGGTAGACATCCCTGCTCTTTCCCTACTCCTCCGGAACATATCCCTATTGCTAGCACTGTCAGACAAGGAACCTGTCTGTACTCTAGTTACTTGCATGGAGCACACCAAGATTCTACTTTACACAAGATGGCCACCCAGGTCACATGGGACAAGAGAATTCAACCAGATAACTGACGTGTGTGACCGAGGAAGCCATAGAGAAACCTTGTTTCCCTCCACTTCCTCTTCCCTCTGCATTGCTGCTGCGGTCCAGCGCCACCTGCAGAGGAGAATCCAGACTGCACTGTCACAATCGCATGATCACCGCAACCAACATGCGACGCAATCTCACGACCGCGACCACCAATACGTCACGATCGCGGCGTCAGACCCCAGACCTTCTCACCAAAATCGTGACCGAAGGACCAGCCGATCCAGACCGCTATGTGACGTGCGTAACAATGCCACACTCAGCTGCGACCTGCACAACGAATGTCCAGCTAATGGAACGCAATCTACGCACCGGCAGCCTGAATGCGCTTGTTACTGGGTCGGGTTAATTACGCAACTAACCCTTCACACTGCCACCACCCCTTTTTGTACAGAGAAAGGAGAAATTCTCTTTATCAAATATACACTGTAATGGTTGAAAAGGCGCCTGTCCAATACGGTCACCGCAGGCCGATTGGGCAGAGGATTAAACAAACACAGTAGTGTCTCTTCAAAAGGCAGGGATTCATAAATTGCAATTAAGTGCTTTAGAAACAGTTTAACACTTTCAGAAAGAAAGATTTATTACTAAAAGAGTCAAACAGGTGCAATAAAATATTTACAGAAAAAAAGATGTAACTAATATATATATATATATATATATATATATATATATATATATATACACAAAGAATCGTAGCACAGCAAGGAGATAACAGGGAGAAGTTAAAGGGTTAAGTTACTTGCCATTTAAGCCTTTGAGGTAAGCAGGTCCAAGTTGCAGAGCGAAAGGGTCTTTGATCTCCCTATGTTACGATGGAAAGATAGGAGATGTCTTCAACTTACCTTCTAGGCCTGCTAGTCTGTGTTTTAAAGTCCCCCAGCAGGGGGGTGGCTCTGAGTAACTGGCCAATCTCTGTTTAGGGAGGAATTGGAAGGCGGAACCCAAAATCAGAACCAGCATCTTTTATAATTCATATTCTGGACTATAACTTTCCAGCTGCACAAGCGACAAACTTTCCGCGGGTATTTTATTCGGCACATAAGTCTAAGGATCATTTAGAGATGAATTATGAAATTGTACATTACACGTTGTACGAGTTCTATGTTTTGGCTTCCCTGAGCGTGCGAAACTAGTGGAGTGACCTACTAAATGATTCGCCGGCTCACCGCCCATCTGATGATAAGTCTGGTTTTTATGTATGTCTCTCATATTCCAAGATATGAAGCATAGGGGAAAACTGGATCTTTTAAAAATGTTAGCTGGTTTGTGCTTCTGGGGAATGCCTTGAACTCTTGAGAAGGCTCTTTTATCTTTCCCAGAGGTGTGAAGTTACACAGGTTCTTTGGACAGAGAGTCTCTGAGAGGCTGTGGGGGGGGGGGGGGGCTTTGTAGCTCTGGGCCCCCTGCTGCTCTACCTGCCAGTGACTTTTAACACATACACATCTGTCACTGTGCCTCTCACTGAGGGTTGGGGAAGGAGGATAAAGGATTACTTTTAATAAAAAGGGGGACTCTGCGTCCATCTCTGATAAGCAAGTTTGCTACATGCACCTGCCTACATGCAGTAAGTACCAAGTCCTAGACTTGGGAAGGAACAACGCTTGTATGTATTAGTTAATTGCAACAAAGATGAATCAGGTCTTCTGCTCCACCAGGAAAAGCTGTGTGTCAGAGTGTGTAAATCTTGGGACTGGATGGACAGACATCTAAATCTTTTGGCAGGTATAAAGATGTATTATGTTGGTTTATTTACCTGTTTGTCAGGAGTTGAGCTTTAGGTTAGCTTCACACCTATATGTCACAGTAATCCATGCTACATCTACAAACGTCAACACACATTACGCCCTGTGTGTTGTGTGTGCTGCATCAGCAAAAAGAGCTCAGTCCAATTTTAGGTCAATTGTGTAGTGTTTGCAGCCCATTCATATGAATAGGCTGCCTTAATATAATGCATGTTACCATATGACATAATTTGCATTATTACAAGTATGTTCATTTACAGTTAGGTCCATATATATTTGGACACATTCAAGCTATAGTTCTATAATGGATATGGGCTGAAAGTGCACACTCTCAGGTTTAATTTGAGGGTATGTACATCCAAATTGGAGGAAGGGTTTAGGAATCACAGCTCTTAAGAGTAGCCATCCCCCCTTTTTCAAGGGTCCTAAAGTAATTGGACAATTGAATCAAAAGCTGTTTCATGGCCAGGTGTGGGCTACGCCTTCATTATTTCTTCATTAATTAAACAGGTAAAAGGTCTGGAGTTGATTCTAAGTGTGGTATTTGCATTTGGAATCTATTGCTGTGAACCTACATCATGCGTTCAAAGGAGCTGTCCATGCAAGTGAAACAGGCCATTGTAAGGCTTCAAAAACTAAGCATATAAATCAGAGAGATAGCAGCAACATTAGGAGTGGCCAAATCAACAGTTTGGTACATTCTGAAGAAATAAGAATGCACTGGTGAGCTCAGCAACATAAAAAGGCATGGACATCCACGGAAGACAACAGTGGTGGATGATCACAGGATCCTCTCTATGGTAAAGAAAAACCCATTCACAACATCCAGACAAGTGAAGGACACTCTCCAGGAGGTGGGCATATCATTGTCAAAGTCTACAATCAAGAGAAGACTTCACAAGAGCAAATACAGAGGGTTCACCACAAGGTGCAAACCATTCATAAGCCCGAAGAATAGCCAGACCAGTTCTGGAAAACATTAGATTTTGCCAAAAAACATCTAAAAAAAGCCAGAGTAGTTCTGGAAAAGCATTCTTTGGATGGATGAAAGATTAATCTGTACCAGAATGACGGGAAGATAAAAGTGTGGAGAAGGCTTGGAACAGGTCATGATCCAAAGCACACAATGTCATCTGTAAAACATGATGGAGGCAGTGTGATGGCATGGGCATCCATGGCTTCCAGTGGCACTGGGTCATTGGTGTTTATTGATGATGTGACAGAAGACAGAAGCAGCCGGATGAACTCTGCAGTGTTAAGCGGTATACTGTCAGCCCAGATTCAGCCAAATGCAGCAAAGTTGATTGGGCGGAGCTTCAAAGTACAGATGGACAATGATCCAAAACACACTGCAAAAGCAACCCAGAAGCTTTTGAAGGAAAATAAATGAAATATTCTGCAATGGCCGAGTCAGTCAACCCAATTGCCCAGAATTGGAAAAAATCCAGTGGGAGGATTTAAATGGAAGTTGGAGAAAATTGTGAACAGAGGGTTTGGACAGGGTATTTTGGATAAGAAAGAGAAAGCTTTTTTGATCCCATTGGCACCACGAACTCCAGTTATATATTATTTACTCAAGATACAGAAAGATACTGTTAACCCTCCAGGGCGTCCCATAGTAAATGGAATTGATTCTATCACTTCTAGGGTTGGGAAGTACATTGATAACTTCCTGCAACCCTTAGTAAAGAAAATTCCCTCATATCTTAAGGATACCAAACATGCTATCAATATATTAAGTAAACAGACTTTTAGTAGAGAGGGTTGGATGGTTACTGCGGATGTATCATCACCAGGGGCGAACTGACCATTTAGCCACTCGGGCACTGCCCGAGGGCCCGGGGTCAGTAGGGGGCCCCATGACATGCCCCTTGTACCTTTCATAGGCTTTTTTAGGTGTGGTTTGAGTGTGGGCAAGGACACAGGGGCCCCATGATTTCCTATTGCCTGGGGGCCCCATGAGTTGTCAGTCCGCCCCTGATCATCACTTTACACCATTATACCATATGATTTAGGACTGGAAGCGGTTGAATATTATTTAACCAATGGGTCGGAGCAGTACAATCTCCAAAAGAGAGGAGTAGCTATGGGAGCTAAATATGCTCACAGCTTGGCAAATTTGCTTATGGCCAGATGGGAGGAGGATGTCGTGGGTGTTGCTCGCCCTCAACAATTGGTGTTGTGGGCTAGGTACACCGACAACATCCTCCTCCTATGGAATGGAACTTATGAATCCCTACATGACTTTATGGCCTCTCTAAATAATAATGAACGGGACATTCAATTAGAATATGAGGACAGCTAAACTCAAATTCATTTTTAGATTTGAAAATATTCAGAAGGGATGATAGTTTTGTTACCTCGACCTTTTTCAAATCTACTGACCGAAATGCATATATTCCAATGGATAGTTGCCACTATAAACCATGGCTTAAATCGATTCCACTAAGTAAATTTTTACGTATAAGGAGGAACTGTACTAATATTGATAATTATTCATTATAGGCAATAATATTGAAAAACAGATTTTTAGAGAAGGGTTATGAACTGGATAGTCTTAATGCAGATATAGAACTAGTTAAGAGTATGGACAGACAGGATCTGTTGAAGGAAAAATCTGGTCATAATGAGGACAGTAATAAGTTTATCTGCCCGTTTGTTACTCCTTATTCAGTACATCACTACTCCATTAAACAGATTTTGAAAACACATTGGCATATTTTGTGTAATGATAGAGTATTGGGACCTTTACTGCCTGATAAACCACAAGTTATTTTTCATGGGATAACACCATTACATAATTTAATTGCCCCTAATGTTTATGACCCCCCCTTGTCAAACTCCCTTTTTTCAGCATTTAAAAGGTTTTTATAAATGTAAGAGGTGCACAGTGTCTCAAATCAATATGTGTGCACATAGAGGTATTACTTCTTTTGTGTCCACTGCCACCTCTAGGAGTCATCTCATTAAACCTTTTATTACTTGTACCACCTCCAATGTAGTTCATCTTTTCCAGTGCCCCTGTGCCCTCCAGTACATCAGAAGGACCACCCGTACTCTCCAAGTTCGATTGGGAGAGCACATAGGGAATATCAAGAGAGGCTTCAAAGGACATAGTGTCACTAGACATCACGCTATGAGACACAATAAGGATCCTAGAGGCACTCTTTTTTTGGGGATTGATAAATGTACCCCTCATTGGCGAGGGGGTGCTGTTAGGAGAGAAATCTCCAAACTTGAGACTAAATGGATTCATAGTGTCAAATGTTACGTACTGTATGGTTTGAACATTGATTGGGACATTAATGCCTTCATTAATAATGCCTAAACGCTTCCCTATGCCCCCATGATATTAGCCTTCCACTATGCATGATCTTCTTCTCCACCACTGTCAATTATTCTGAAGGGAATATGAATATGGGCTGTTAATACAGCCCTATTAGTCATATTTAATGGCTCTCTGGTGCCTTTAAGGTTTGATTTCTCATGCCATTATTAGGCTCTGCTATGGTGCTACCTTTTCCATCTTTGGGAATCATAGAGAAGTTATTTTTGATTTTGATACAGTTCTTTTTGTGATCATTCAAATAATTGCCTTGCAATTTTATATTTAGTCACCATAAAAAGGCTTGAATGGCATTGCCCTCCATTTGCTTAACTTCCTTTATTCCCGCGTGGGATCTTCCATCCGGTTTTTGCAATATTCTAAATTGGTTTACTCCAAATCAAGGCTTGGTTTTTGTCTATATCAACACAATGATGGAGGGCGGTCTCCTAGCCCTGGAAGACATCTGTTTATGATGAAATGCGTTGGGTGGAGCCTCCCTTCTGATGTTATTGCATTTTCCGCCAACTTGGAACACCTGTGTGTTATGATTGTTGCCTGTTACTTCAGCGTTGTTGTAAGTGTAACCTTGTTTGCCTTAATAAAGTGTTTGAACTTTCTGCACTATGAGAGGAAACTCTTTATTATTAAGTTTCATAAGCCAACCCTGATCTCTAATTCTGGAATAGCTAACCATATAGGAGCGGAACATTGGGTCCCAGTATAATCCACCTGTCTGACGGAGTTATATTTGTATTGAACCTAACCTGACCTCCTGTAGTTAAGAGGTCTGGGAATCTGGTAAGCCTTTGATTTGCCTAATAAGGTGGTGGCCATTCAAACTGGTGATTCTGGGATGGAATGAAGAATTTTCATCTTTAATAAAATAGTTTTTTGTGAGCCACCAGGAGTTAACTTACTCTATTATTAGTGTTAATTGTGTGCTTAAGTGAATATTTATTAAATATTAGATCGCTAGGCACTAATTACACCCTCTCTAGGTGTATAAATATAAACTATGAATTCTTATACTGTACCGCGCTCCAATGTCATCAACCTTTTGTGATTGACCTTTTTTGATTGTGTGAATTTCTTAATATACCACCTATAATCCAATCATTACTTACTTCTATGGTGCTTAAATATACAATTAACATAAATTAATTTATAAATGTGAATTAAAAAATTATATGTGATTATAACAAATATTAAAAAAATTAATGAAAAAATTGGAATGTCAATTCTATGTGAATAAAATTAAAAAAAAAAAAAAAAAAAAAAATTAATAAAACATTAATAAAAAATGGGAATGTCAATTATTTTCTTTGAATTTGAGATGGTGTTGTTATTCAATTTAGTTTATGTGATAAGTCTGTGTTGGCAGCTTGAACCTCTCCCTCTTGTCTCCTCTCCTCTCTCCTCAGCTCAGCCTTCTCAATTGTGCTTTCTTCACTGGCTGCTTTGTTTATTCCTCCATATACGGAACATGCAGAGAAGGGAAAAGAAACATAGTGTCTTATCCGGGATATAAGTGATTTATTGCTCTTTGATCTCCCACTCACATTGTGTAAAAAATGTAAATAACGCTTTGCATACAATGTATCCAGATCATGCTTCAGACAGCCTGGCTGATGTGTTTGTTTTCAGTAAATATACTCGCCATTCCTCTGTGGATGCGTGATAACGTCACCGCCCCTCCCCTACGCGTTACGCTACAGGGACTCCTAGCTTCCTCTGGGGGATGTGGATTTGCATTCCATCATTCACAGAGGCTATTTATATCCTGCCGGCTCCATTTTTGCTGTGATTTGTTAACTATTCGTTACCTCTCCATTGCTTTGGAGTCCAGACTATATCTCAATATTATTCATTGTATATATACAAAGTGCGCATCATCATCCTTCGGCTGTATACTTAATGCTTACATCCACACCCCTCACAATCTGGATTACAATCTTATATTTGATCATCTGTCCACAAAGTTTTTTAATATCTAAAATTTAACTTAAATATATTATTTACCATACTTTATTAATTAGGACTTTTAATTCTTAAAAATATATATATACACCCTACATTCAATTTAAATTTAATATGAAACAAATTTAAATAAATAAAATTACATATATATGTATAAAAAATAGAAAGTATAAAATTTATTGAAAATTTACTTATAATTCAAAATAAACAAAATTAAATATATATATAAAATAAAATAAAAATAAAATATTATAATGAAATAAAAAAAAAAAAAAAAATAAATAAATAAAAAAATATATATATATAAATATCAATAAAAATATCAATAAAATCGAAAAAAAAAAAAAAAAAAAAAAAATAAAAAATAAAAAATAAATAAATAAAAATAAAAATTCCCAAAAAATGTTTATCTAAAATTCTTTAAGTTTAATATTCTGCGACTTAATAGCTTAAATACTACTTTGAAATTCTTGTATATGCTATTGTAAATGCTTAATGTCTTTATCATTAATATCAAATAAAATTCTATTTATAAAAATATGTAAAAAATTGCAATACTACCCCCTTGGTGTCAATATGAATTGTTTTATCTTAAAAAATATCAAATTAGTGAAAAATATCAACTATAACATCTTCCACACTTAAAAAATTTAGTGTTCAATCTTGTCTCTGATATTATATTTTAGTTTTAATTTAATATTCTGCGGACTTAATAGCTTAAATACTACTTTGAAATTCTTTATATGCTATTGTATGCTTAATGTCTTTATCATTAATCCTTCTATTTTCCCCTTTATTATGTTCTATATTTAATAATCGCTCAAGAAACAAGCTAAATCAAATTCCTTGTTTAATCCAACGGATGCAAGGAATTCATTTGATATATCCACTGGGATTCTTTCTTACTTATTTCTCTAATGAGATTATCTCCTCTCCAGTGTGCCTTAACTTCTCTATTCCCCAAAATTCTAGGCCTTCTGTTTTTTGTTCATGGTATAGTTTGAAATGTAATGATACATTATGGTATTTATAACCTTTTGAAATGTTCCGAACATGCTCCTTTATTCTCTCTTTTAGCCTGCGTTTTGTTCTTCCTATATAAATTTTATTGCACGGACATTTCAATGCATATACTACCCCCTTGGTGTCACATGATATGAATTGTTTTATCTTAAATGTTTTACCACTTATCAAATTAGTGAAATGCATTCTTTTTCTGGGGTTATTTTTTGTTCTGATACAACTATAACATCTTCCACACTTATAAAATCCAATTTCCTGAAAAAAAGTAAGTGTATTTTGTTTAGGTGGATTTAATACGTTCTTCACTATCTTGTCTCTGATATTGGGGGCTTTTTTATAAATAAATCTTGGATTTTCAGGGATACTGTCTTTTAAATCTTTATCTAACTTTAATATATCCCAATGTTTATTTATTATTCTTTGCACATCTTTATATTGCTTATTGTACGGCATTATAATAGTCATAACATTGTCCATACTATTGTTATTCTGACTTTTTGTTAGTAGTTTGTTTCTATCTAGTACTCCTACCCTTTCTCTTTCTTCTACTATGTATTCTTTTTTGTACCCTTTATTAATAAATCTCTTTATAAGGATGTCACTCTGTTCCTGGTAATCAATATCATGTGTACAATTTCGTCTCAGTCTCATAAACTGCCCTCTGGGTATGTTCTTTATCCATGCTTTATGATGGCAACTATGGGTGGGTATATATGAATTTCTGTCTGTATTTGATTTTTTAAAGTAATTTTTTGTAGAGATTTTTGATCCCTCT